GACCCTCCGCGCCACCGCCCGCCGCTCTTCGCCGCCGGCTCAGCCCCGCACCCCCGCACCGGCGTGGCCCCGCACCGTCGCCCCGGACGTCGCCGCCCCAGCCGCCTCCGCCCTTCGCGCGCCCCCGCGCCAAGCTCACCGGCCGTGCCTCCCCGCCCCGACGTTGTGTCCCGCCGCTAGGGATGGACGTCCGAGCGAGCTTTTAGGCTCGGCTCGAAGCTCGCTCCAGCTCGGCCCGTTACAGCTCGACCCGGTAGGATAATTAGGCGAGCCGAGCTATGAAAATAGGCCCGATTCTCGACCGAGCCGAGCCGAGTTTCACCCGGTCCAGCTCGGGGACTCGTTGAGGCCCAGCCCAAATTCCCGTTAGGTCACAGCAGAGAGAGAGCACGCACGTGACGCGGTTTCCTCACCCTTCTCCCTTTCTCTGCCCAGCGCCGCCACCCTTCTCCTCGCCGCGCCGCAAGCTGGACTCATCGGGCTTGGCACCGATGGCGACGGCCAACGCCGCCTTCCCTCACCAGAGCGGACACAGACGGACGCGTCTCCCCTGGTTTCTCATCGAACAACAGGAGCAGGTAAGCGATCTCTTCTATCCTTCCCATCCTTGGCCCTAGCTCCCTGCACTGGCGCACACACACGCACGAATTAGATGGATGGATGCTTGTGGTTTCGGCTGGAGGGCGCGGCTAGGTAGGAAACGCGATGGATGGATGCTAGACGAGTTTGATGGATGGATGCTTGTGTTTGTTGGCTGGAGACTGCAGCTAACTAGGATGTATGCTATGCTGCACGAATTTGATTGATTGATGGATGAATTTGTTTGTGCTTGATTGTGTAGACTGATCAGTGATTATTATCTATGTAAATTTTGTTGATGATTTGACCATTTGTTCTTCACTGATGTATGCAGAGCCCCACTGTCGCAAGAATGGACAAGGAAAAGGGGAAGTAGAGGAGGAGGACAAGGAGAAGGAGAGAAGCTTGGTGTCCGTTATGAAGACTAAGCTGCTTGTCCCAGGAAGTGGAAGGGCAAGGGCAAGGGTTGTGTCGCTGCCAAGGAAGCGGGCCAAGGAATACGGCAATGTCCCGCTCGCCCAGTTGTTATTAAGGGTAAGAAAAGCTCCGCCGCCTTGACGTCTCGCTGACCCTGCCGATGCCAAGAGCCGCACCAACCCCATCGTCCGTCGTTGGATGGCAGATCTCAAGACCTCTGCCTACCAAGCTGACCATGTCCTCGAAAACTTCTGCTATGTGGTGCTGTGCCGACGACCACATCCTCTGTGAGTCCTCGTCTCTATTTTTAGTTTAATTTGAAAATGGACTTTCTGTTTAATTTGGAAGTGGAAGCCCCTTAATCTATGGAAATTGAAGGCTTTTAATTTTACTGAAATTAAAGATGGTACTGTCTGTCTCTGTTGTTTGCATTCAGTTTATAAGTGACTACAATTCCTGGCTACATAAGTGTCAGTCTGTCAAGCGTCAAGTGTCAAATTTCAGAGGACACTTGAAATCTAAGCATCAAAGAGGTTCGGTTAGTCTGTCCAATGTCAACTAACACTTGACATATTTGTCAAACATGTTCTATAGTAGAAACGGAATCCTACATCTTCACCGGTATAGTTGTGACAAATATGTGTGTCCAAGCTCCTGTTTTTGCTGTTTTTGCTATCCAAAGGTCAAATATATGTGTGTGCAAGCTCTTGTATGTGTTGTTTTTGGTATCGAAAAGTCAAATATAAGTTTGTACAAGCTCATGTATATGCTGTTTTTGGTATCCAAAAGTCAAATATATATTTGTACAAGCTTATGTATGTGATGTTTTTGCTATTAAAAAGTCAAATATATGCGTGTCCAAGTTCATGTGTGCTAGGCAATGGAGCATGATAAGCAAGCGGAGAAGGATTATGAAGAGGAGGAAGAGAATGGGGAGGACGAGGATGAGCAAGGTACTCTGTTTGAGGAGGAGGAAGATTCTCATTTTGATGTCAAAGCGCTGAGTGTTATGCTACGCAAAATTGCATTGTTTGGCTCTCAACGTTCAATATTTTTGCTGTTTAAAGTTCAAAGGAGGAGCTGTCCAAAATTCAAAAGCAATGATGCCCAATTCTTTCTTAGTCATATTTGTTCCATTTCTACACTTTGCATAGAAGAAAGCTTATTTTTTTCATCACTATGACCAACTTTTAAATCATAGACTGCTAGATGTTGCGTTTTTAGCAATATAAAGTGCTTCTTTTCCACATTATGGGTTTAATTGCTGTAGAAGATCAAAACTAGTCTTTAAAAACAGGGTTCTTTTACCTCCTAGCTGTTATGGCGCCAGCTGGCTCACGAGCCGGCTCGGTCTAAGCCGAGCCATAGCAAAAACGAGCCGAGCCGACTAAAGCAGGCTCGTTGGCTGAGCGAGCCGAGCCAAGCTGAGCCGCTTGAGAACGAGCCAAAGCCAGGCTCGGATCAAACTCGACTCGGCTTGGCTCGTGTCCAGCCCTACCCGCCGCCACCGCACCTCGTCGCCGGCAACCGCCGCCCCGCGCCGGATCCGGCGAGATCCGGCCGGAGGTCGCCCCGGGCCCTTCCTCGACATCTCCGGCGCGATTCCAACGAGATCCCTCCGTTGACTTCCCCCCCCCCCCTTGAGGTCGAATTTCTTCTAAGTCCTGAAATTCATCATTATGTTGCCTTGTTCATTGCATCATATCTCCATGTGTACTACTCCGTTTTGCGTGCATGATATATCAAAATGTTCAACATGATGTGCTCTTAATTTTGTTCCATTGTGCCATGTTTTTTTGAGATCATCTGGATGCCTAAATCATCGTTGTGAAAGTGCTATATGATGTAATCTGCTCTCTGTTAGCAGAACTTGGTGATTTGTCTTCTTCATTGCATTTTGTGTGTGCATCCTATGAGCTTGATGTCTACATGTGTTTTGTGCTACACCATGCCATCCTTACAGGAGTGCAATACATGTATTTTTTTGAGTCTTTTAGTGAGTGCATCGAGCTCGTGAAGTAGAGTACTTGCTATTGCTGTTTTTCTAGACTGATTCTGCTATATCATGATGCTATGTAAACCTGCTGCTACAAGTCATTCTATGCATTATCTAGAGATGTTCACTAAGAATGTTTTGTTAAACATATTATTCTCTATCCATACATGCCCCTGATTGCATTTATAGCACGTTGTAGCTTGCTCATATCTTGCTCTCAATTTTTTAAACAATGTTGCTATGAGCCTGTTAACATTAAGTTCAGTTTTGCCATGAGCTTTGCTAGTGATCCATGCACCCCATGAACTTGCTCTTGCCATGCTTAGCTTCTCAAACATGTGTTCTTACTGTTGGTTACCTTGTCATGCCATGTATTGCTCTATGGTGAGTGGTACAAGCTCACCAGCATGCCTACTTATCGTTGTTCCTACCATGTCTGAATCTGTCATATCATTTGCCATGTTTGCATGGATGCTACCATCTTTTCTGTTGATCTTTGGAATTAGTTCAGTAAGGAAGTTTTGTTCTTTGTATTTATTGTTAGAATGCCATGCCTTTGGTTGCCATGTTAAGTACCTGTAACATGTTGTTTGATAGCTCTAAACATTGCAACCTGATGTTATTCCTGTTAAGTCTAAAACTGTTATTATTTGCAATCTTGCCATGTCCTTTCGAGCATGTTATACTGTTTGCTGGAGATAGCTCAGTGTTCATGTTTTGTCATGCTTTACCTGTTATTCATGCCCATGCCTTTTGTTTTCACGTTGAGATGCTGTAGCATATTGTTTTGATGCTTGCTAGATGCCTAGTTGCTGTTTTGGACAACTTGTCCTTTAAACTTGTATAGAGTGTATGTGTTGAACCGTTGCTCCGTTTTGAGTGTGCCCTATATGAAACTTGCTTGATTTTGCATGAAGTTTCATATTATCATGTTGCATTCATGTTTGAGAGTGTTTGCTTGATGTTTGTATGCATTTTGCATCAATGCCATGTTTGAGTTGTTTTCCTCATATCTTCAAGGCCATAGCTCCGAATTAAACAAACTTTATATGTAACTTGACTAGAATTTCATGTAGATCATCTTGGTGCATCTTAACTTAATGTTTAACAATTTGAACATAAGGTTTATTCAGATCTGGACCAATTTCTAAATTTGCATATGGGGACTTACCAGAATTGTTCTATGTTATTTCCGGCCTCATTTACACTTGCTTTGATGTGCTGCTCTTGTATGCATCATCTCTTGCCTTGAGTAGCTTCATGTAGCTTTGTCATGCATCATGCTTGGTTGTGCATCATGTCATGTATATGTGTGGTGTGTTTACCATGCTGTGTGCTTCTTCTCGATAGTTCCTGTTTCGTTGCGATCATGAGGATTCGTTCGTCTACGCTTGGTTCGGTTTCATCCGTCCGTCTTCTTCATGGACTTGTTCTTCTTCGTAGCGGGATTTCAGGCAAGATGACCGTCACCTTGGATCTCATTACTATCATTGCTATGCTAGTTGCTTCGTTATATCGCTATGCTATGCTTCCTATCACTTGTTCTTCAAGCCTCCCCAAATTGCCATGTCAGCCTCTAACCTTTTCATCCTTCCTAGCAAACCGTTGTTTGGCTATGTTACCGCTTTTTCTCAGCCCCTCTTATAGCATTGTTAGTTGCAGGTGAAGTTGAAGATTGCTCCATGGTGGACAGGATTATGTTGGGATATCACAATATCTCTTATATTATTAATGCATCTATATACTTGGTAAAGGGTGGAAGGCTCAGCCTTATGCCTGGTGTTTTGTTCCACTCTTGCTGCCCTAGTTTCCGTCATACCGGTGTTATGTTCCCGGATTTTTGCGTCCCTTACACGATTGGGTGATTTATGGGACCCCCTTGATAGTTCGCTTTGAATAAAACTCCTCCAGCAAGGCCCAACATTGGTTTTACCATTTGCCTCACCACCACCTACTTTTCCCTTCGGAGTTGCTCTCTCGAGGGTCATCTTTATTCAGCCCCCCCCACCGGGCCAATGCTTCTCTAAGTGTTGGTCCGAACTAGAGCCCTTTGCAGCGCCCCCTCAAGGAAACTTGAGGTCTGGTTTTAGTTGTACGGATTGCTCATCCGGTATTGCCCTGAGAACGAGATATGTGCAGCTCCTATCGGGATGTCGACGCATTGGGCGGTCTTGCTGGACTTGTTTTACCATTGTCGAATGTCTTGTAAACTGGGATTCTGGGACTGATCGGGTCTTCCTGGGAGAAGGAATATCCTTCGTTGACCGTGAGAGCTTGTGATGGGCTAAGTTGGGTCACCCCTGCAGAGTATAAACTTCCGAGAGTCGTGCCCGTGGTTATGTGGCAGATGGGAATTTGTTAATGTCCGGTTGTAGATAACTTGACACCAGATCCGAATTAAAATGCATCAACCGTGTGTGTAGCCGTGATGGTCTCTTTTCGGCGGAATCCCGGAAGTGAACACGGTTTTGGGTTATATATGAACGTAAGTAGTTTCAGCATCACTTCTTGATCACTTCTAGCTTCTCGACCGTTCCGTTTGCTTCTCTTCTCACTCTCATTTGCGTATGTTAGCCACCATACTTGCTTAGTCGTTGCTGCACCCACACCACTTATCCTTTCCTTACCCATTAAGCTTTGCTAGTCTTGATACCCATGGTAATGGGATTGCCGAGTCCTTGTGGCTCACAGATTACTACCACAACAGTTGCAGGTACAGGTTATGCGATGATCTTGACATGAGAGTGATGTTGCTTGTTTTGGAGTTCTTCTTCTGCTTCTTCTTCGATCAGGGGATAGGTTCCAGGTCGGCAGCCTAGGCTAGCAGGGTGGATGTCGTTGAGCTTCTGTTTGTGTTTCATCCCTAGTCGGTTGTTGCCCTTATGTATGATGTATTGATGTATTCGTGTGGCATTGTATGCCTTTTGTATGTATCCCCATCTTTTATGTAATGTTGATGTAATGATATCCACCTTGCAAAAGCGTATCAATATACGGTTCTATCCTTGGTGGGACCTTCGAGTCTCTTTAGGATTGTATCGCATATTGGGCGTGACAGACTTTAACTCGGATCTTATGGCCTCCAGCCATGCCTCGGAATCTGGGCTCACCATCGCTTCCGCATACGTGGTCGGCTCGTCGCTTTCTAGCAACAATATATCATGCACTCTGCGCAATCGTTCCGACCTCCTTGGTTCTGGTGCCGCTTCCAATACGGGTTCCCTGACTGACTACGGTATGATCTCATGACCAGCCAAGCCGTCCCCGAGTGGTCCTCGAATTTCTTCGAGGCGAACCGTCCTCCCACTGGCCTCCCGACTGAGAAATTCTTTCTCAAGGAAAACCCCTTTCCGAGAAACAAACACTTTGTTCTCTTCCCGGTTGTAGAAGCTATATCCCAAGGTTTCCCTCGGATATCCCACGAATATCCATTTATCCGATTTAGGTGTAAGCTTGTCTAACACAAGTCGCTTGACAAATGCTTCACCACACCAAATCTTTAGAAAAGACAAACTGGGACTCTTCCTGGTCCACATCTCATGTGGTGTCTTGTCTATGGATTTTGATGGTACCCTGTTAAGTGTGAAAGCTGCAATTTCTAGAGCGTATCCCCAAAATTACAAGGGTAAATCTGATTTGCTCATCATAGACCGGACCATGTCTAACAAGGTCCTATTCCTACGTTTCGACACGTCGTTTCTCTGTGGCGTACCTGGAGGTGTGAGCTGAGGTACTATACCTCGGCTTTTCAGATGATCATCAAACTCCTGGCTCATGTACTCACCTCCACGATCAGATCGTAGAAGTTTTATAGTCTTTCCGAGGTGATTCTCAACCTCATTTTGAAACTCTTTGAACTTTTCAAAAGTCTCCGACTTGTGCCTCATCAAATAGATATATCCATATCTACTCAAGTCATCGGTAAAAGTCACAAAATACTAAAAGCCACCTCTAGCGGTTGTGCTCATTGGACCACACACATCACTATGTATAAGTTCCAATAGCTCGGATGCCTTCTCCCAACTCTTTGCAAAAGGAGACTTAGTCATCTTGCCGAGCAAGCATGATTCGCATGTCTCGAACGACCCAAAGTCGGACGAAGTTAGGAGCCCATCATCATGGAGCTTCTTCATGCGTTTCAGACTAATGTGTCCAAGCCGGCAATGCCAGAAGTATGTCGGATTTAT